CCTTTAAAGGATATATAATATGATATGACATGACATATTATGACATGATGTGATGCAATCAATACACTGTAAATATTTATTTTTAAAAACTGTTTAGCATAGTGCCTGGCACATAGTAGGCACTATATAAAGGACCATTGTCTAAAGTTCAATGGTAATGCCAACTCTTCCAGGAAGTAACAACTCTTGTTTTCCGATCAGTATAACACAGCACAATACAATACAACGAGCTGGTACAGTAAGTGCAAAGTCACCAGTCTCACTTTCCTCCCTCACTTAAATCCAATTGAATTGCAAGTCATGGCATCATCTTCCTGATATCATGGTCCTCTTTGAGAATGAGGGACAAATCACAACCACATAACAGTAAGTAAGAGTCCAGTTCTTGGAATCAGGAACACCTGAGTTTGAATCTGGCCTCAAACTAATTTTGTGACCCTGGCTAAGTCAGTGAACATCTCTCAGCCTCCATTTCCTATCTATAAAAGAAGGATAATAATAGTACCTTCCTCACAGACTTGTGAGGATTAAATGAGATGTTGTAGGTAAAACATTTTGTAAAGCTTAGAGCACTATGCATAGACTATAATGCAACACAATATGTGTTGATTAAGTTCCACTAATTTGCAAGGCATAGGGCTTGGTGCTGAAGCTATAAAACCAAAACATAAACCAGTTCCTGCCCTCCAGGATTCTAAGAAGTAGAGGAAAGGGGGGAGCCTCTTTGAGACATGAGGTCAGTCTGTGCAAAGGTAGGGAGGTAAATAAAGGACAGCCAAATAGGGAAATGGCAAGTTGGCCAGTTTGCCTGGACAGTAGAATCTGTGGAGAGGAGAGCTGTGCAGTAAGCCTGGGAAGGGTGCCTTAAGCCAGATGGTGAAGGACTGCAGCTGAAAAGCCAAGGAACTGGTTTTATGATAGAGGCCGTGGAGAGTCACCAAAGTCTCTTGGGCATGATATTGTCAGACTTGGACTTAAGGAAGACTTAGATGACAGCTCTCTGGAAGACAGATTAGACAGGAGCAAAACTGGAAATCAGGAGTCTAATTAGGAGACAACTGCAAAAATCCAGGGGAGAGGTGATGAGTACCTGAACTAGGGTCGTGACTGTGTAAAAGACGAAAAGAGGACAGATGTGAGCACTGTGGAGGCAGACGAAAAACATGACTTGTCAACTGATTGGATCTGACAGGAAAGGAAGGAGAAGGAAAATGAGAAGGTGGTTAATCAAGAAAAGAGGTAGGATCCAAGGGGAAGATGCCAAGTCCCATTTTGGACTGGCTGAGTTTGAAGTGACCACAGGATAAGGGCATCTTTCTATTCATTGTTCTCAGGTAGTATTATATATTGTAATTATCTGTGTTGGTATTTTATCCTACTAGGATAAAAGATCCATGGGAGATGGGACTGTCTTACATAAATTTTTAATCTCTCCAGCACAAAACGTAAGTGCTACATACAGTAAGCACTTAATAAAAAACCTTCTAATTGTGTATAACCACAGTGGCAACACCATTTAGAGCACTTGAAAGCCACACTTTAGATGCTCATCTCACCATTCCCTGCCCCCAAACTGACAAATTGTCTGGCCAAAGGGACCATTGATTCCAAAGATTTGTATGGCCTCATTAAAAATCATGGTCCCCAAATAATTCATGACGATTGTCTTTAGGCTGATACTACATCTCCTTTGTCCACAAAGATAAAGGGTTAATTATAGATTAGGGACATTTGGGTTATCCCCTCACCCCCACCACCAAGTCTGCACAGCCAAATGCTGACAGTCAACACAACCTACAAGGGAAAAGGAAGGGAAAGCTCCTGATGAGCTTAACCCTAATGAATTAAATCCATTTCTATTTTTGAAAGCATTCCTAACTCTGTGTAGTTATGGGAACCATTCACTATGGTTCTCAGACTTCCACGGAAGAATGCTCATCTAGCTTTGAGATACTTCACAGGGAAAAATGAAAGGTTAAGCTGTTGCTTGCCCTCAGGAACAGAGGCCAGTATCATAGATTCTGAATATGGGGTGTGATCTCCTGGGCAGACAGAAGAAAATCAAAGGCTGGGTACGAAACTTTCTCTCTGTTGAGTGCCACTGATCCATGGGGAAAGTCAATTGACAGCCACCCAAAAGTAAGCCACTTCATTTAGCTGGTTTTTGGCTGTCATTTAATTTTAACACATTCTACCATGACTTAAAATAAGTTCAGGAAACATGAAATTCTAATCAATAAATTTAATTCAGTAATGCAAACTTTGTATCAAAGGCTCCTTCCTGATATGAAGAACGGGGTATATCATGTTAGGAACCTCTCAAGTCACAGGCTCGTTGCACCCGCCCAGAGGATCTTGGCACTGCAGAATCTGACACCCTCCCCCCCAAGGTAGACACCAGCTCCCCTTGCAAGCATGCAGGGTTATAAGGCTTGAAAGATAAGCAGTTTTATTGGCAAATTAATGGAAACAGACAGGACTTCTACCATGCATGTGGAAACCAATCAATCATTGTAAAGGCAAAGAATAAAAATGTAGCCATCCCCATCAGGGAGCAAGCCTCCCCTCCCCCCACCCCGCCCCACAAATAGCTCAGCAGTGTCAGTGACATACAGTACTGCCTTGGCAAAGCTGCTAAAACAGGGGAGCCAGAGTTTGTTCCCCAACATGCGTGCCCCTCCAGGTCCCTCTGGCCATCATTGAGTGTTTCCTGGATGACTTGCCTCCTCATTTCTCTCTGGGCATCACTGGTTACTCTCCCCACCACTGCTCCCTGCTGCTGTCTTCCTTGGCTCCCAAAGGTGGTGGCCACTTTGCCATTGGCCTTGCTTTCTGTCTTCTGCAGTTCTGCTTCCTGAACTTCTTCCTGACATTTTTCTCATTCCCTATCCTAGGGGACCAGTTCTTCAATAACTAATCCATATGGGAATGATGCTCAAGATGTGTTCAGTTGTTTTTTTAATCTCCATTATTCTAAAGACTTTTTGTTTCAGTCCCCTCAGCCCAAGGCGTCACACACTAGAGATCTCTGGAGGGCTAGCAAGTGTCTCGCTGTCTCCAATGCCATGTGGGTTCATGGTACCTCAGCATCTTTCCTCTCAAACTGTCCCCTCTTTCTAGCTTCACTATTACTGGTGAGGGGACCACCATCCTACTAGTCATCCAGGCTTTCACTTGGGTGTCATCCTCAGCCCCTCACCCTCTTATTCCCATATCCAATTAGCTGTCGAGTCCTACCATCTCTGCTTTCAGAACATCTCCCATAGATGGCCCTTTCCTCTGACACTGCCATCCTCCTGGTTTAGGCTCTCATCACCTCAAACATGGACTATGGCAACAGCCTGCTGGATGGGTCTGTTTGCTTCCAGTCTCTCTCCTCTCCTATCTCTCCTCCAATCAGCTGTCAAATTCATCTTGATCCAATGAAAGCTTCACCATATCACCCCCTTTTCAAGAAATTCCAATAGCTCCCAATCACCTCCGGCACTGGCCTTGAAAGCCTTCATAACCTAGTCCCTTCCTACCTTTCCAGTCTTCTCACACTTTATTCCCCATCCTTTTGCTCAGAAGTCTGAGTTCAAATCCAGTCTCAGGGACTTAATAATTGTGTGACCCTGGACAAGTCACTTAACCTCTGCCAAAAGGAACTTGTGCATATTATAGTTATCTTGTTGCTTAACCACTGTCTGTCTCAGCATTCCCAATTGTAAAATGGAGATCAAAATAGCACCTACCTAATAGGGTTGTTGTGAGGATCAAATGAGAATATATGTAAAGCATTTAGCACAGTGCTGGCACATAGTAGGTATTTAATAAGAAGAGGGAGAGAAGGGAGTAAGGTTTTTAAGCACCTACTACGTGCTAGGCATTGTGACAATGCTTTACAGGTATCTCATTTAGATAATCTCTAGGGCCCTTCCTGTTGTAAGAGACTATAATTCTATGAAGATTTTTTTAAATAACATTTTTCAGTAATACAAGATATCCAGTTAAAAGAAAAAGAAAGAGAAGAAGATATGGGAGAAAAGGGGAGAAGGAAAGAGGGGAGAAAAGAGGGAGTAAGCCAGAAATAGACAACAAAAACACCCTGAGTAAGACAAGGCTCAGTGGGGAAATGAATGAGCCATAGAATGTCACATCTGAAAAAGAAAAAGGGTGTCAGTCAGTTACCCATGTGAATACAGTAGAGTTGGCTCCCTTGCAGATGGTTAAGGCAACTAGGCATTTACTGGATTAATTCTCAGTAATTTGTAATTTTTGCATCTGGAAGGGTCAGACTGGGGCATGAAGGAGCTCACTGAGACAGCAGCCACAGAGCTGGGGACAGCATACCCTAGAAGAGTGCTCTTAGCACCTTCTAAATTATGGCACCCTGAGCCAAAACTCCAGTTGCCATACTCTGGTCAAAGCTTCTGAAGGCAAGCAGGGTTGGAGTTGACAAGAAATATGAGAAGACCAAGCCAGCTCTGGAAACTATGTACTAGGGAGCAGTAATTGCATTACAGGCAACCAGTTGGTCCAGTGGATAAGACTCTGGGTCTAGAGTCAGGAAAATCTAAGTTCTAATCTGCCCTTAGGCACTTACAAGCTGTGTGAGCCAGGGTGAGTCATTCAATTTCTATATGACTCAGTTTCCTGAAACGTATATCATAATAGTACCTACCTCCAAGGACGATCATGAGAATCAAATGAGATATTTGTGAAATGCTTAGCACAGTGCCTGGCATACAGTAGGTGCTTAATAAATGCTTGTTTCCTTCCTTGTTACTTGGAAAACTGGATAGAGCACTGGTCTAGGCTCTGGACTACCACTGACTTAGTTTATGAATTTGGGGAACTCATTTGTCTCTGAGATTTAGTTCCTTCCTCTGTAAAATGATGGACGCGAACCTCATGATTCCATAACATCGCTTTTCAGCTCTGAGACTCTGTGATCTGACGATTCTCAGCAGATCTGGGTGGGGAGAAACCTAGTGCTAACAAAAACAATCCACCCTTACCTTCATTCCCCTCTCCAGGAGGATGATAAAATGAAAGTCCCAGAGAGATGATGGCTGCAATTTCCAAGATAATAAGAGTCACGTCCTGTAGTGCTTCCCAGACTAGCTGTAAGAACGTTTTTGGCTTCTTTGGAGGTATGAAGTTTTGCCCAAAAATCTGCTTTCTTTTTTCTAGGTCTGGAGCAGTGCCCGGTAATCCTGGGAACAAATAAAAACAAAAGTGAATCTGATTGAAGTAATATGGAAATTCCCTAAGACTTTAACAAGTGCCCTGATTCCCCAGGTAGAGGTAAGGGATGAGCAGCTTCCACTAAGAAGTGAGGTGTACAGTGAAGATACCACTGGCTGGGTTCTCCTCGGAGATTATACATCTAGAACTGAAAGCATACACAGAGGTCCTGGAGTCCAACCCTCACCTTTTACAAATGAAGAAACTGAGGCCAGGGAAGTGTAGCTGCTGGCCCAAAGTCATACAGCTAGTAAATATCAGAAGTGAGATTTGAAGCCAGGTCTGTGGACTCCAGAGCCAATGCACTTTCCTTTGTGGACTGCACCTCAGAGCCAGGTGCCATTAACTCGCTAGACAACTTTGGGCAAGCGGAAAACCAGAACACTTCTAAGCCTCACGCAAAAGAAAATGTCTACCGGTAAGGAGAGGAACTGGATTTTACCAGAGGCTATAAGGCTTCATGTTTCTCCCAATTAAATTCAATATCATTCAATTTGGCTGAGTTTTCTGATCTTTTAAGACCTGCTATCAAGTGCGAAGTCTATCCTTCCCAGTCTTCTGTCCTCTGCGGACATGATAAGCAGGCTATCTGTAGCCTTGTCCAAGTCATTGTTTATGTGAATGGTGTCCCAAGAAGGCTTAGGGCAGTATGAAGCTTTAATAGGCTTATTTTAATAGCCTGAGAAAGAACACCAAGAGTTTTGCCACCCTGCTCTGGAAAGAACATTTAACCTTTGTCTATGGGTCAACAACAGCCTTATCAATAGGTGAAGTAGATGGGGGGAGAGGTCACCAAGAAACCTTTGCCCCCTTCTCAAAAGATTCCCCAACCCATTGACCTATACTTGAAAACTCACCATCAGGGTTGCATTTCTTTAACTGGAATCTCTAACAGTCTCAGCTGTTATCTACCAGTTATGCCTTGAGATAAATAAATTTCTAATCTTTTCCTGTGAACAGGCATTTATCTGTATGCATTTTGTTCAGAATACCCTGGGCAAGTCACATAACCTTCAGTTTTCTCATCTATAAAATGGAGATTAATAATAGCACTCACCTCCCAGGGTTGTTGTGAGATAATCTATATAAAAATGTATGCATGAAGTATGCCCCAAAATGGGAACTGCTACATTATGGTTATCTCACTTCATCTTCTAATGCCCCTGGAAGGCCAGCAGATTTAGCTGATATCCATACATGTGGAGTCTGAGGCCCTGAGACTGGCCCAGAGCCACACAGGTGTGCCAGTAAGCCCAGCCAGGGTGAGAGCCCACATGTCTGGGTTTCCAGTCCATCATTTTTCCCATCCCCCAAGGCCTTGAGCTAGCCCTCTTTCTGCAGAAAGTATTCCCGCCTACTGCTGTTTTCTCAGAAATAACAGCTGAACGGAACAAAAATATTTGTGTGTTCTGCTGGTCCCACCCCCAGGAAAGTAACCTGCCAAATGGTTTCCACAACAACAAAACAACCAGAGGCTGATTAGATCTGAGCCTTCAGACCCCAAATAAGAAACTCGAGTTGGGCAGGAGGACTTAACAGCGAGCAGAGTCTGATTCAAACGAAGAAGTCAGAGCCTGGACCTTCTTTACCAACAGCCAAGAGGCCTTTCACAGCAACAGTGGGTGAGGACAGGGGGAGATTGTCCCTCCTATCTCATCAGCACATAAAAGAGGGAAGGGGCTGCAATAAACCTCCTCTCCTCATCCACAGGGATATTTCCCTTCCTAAGTCTGCCGGGGGGGGGGGGGGGGGGGGGGGGGGAGTCAGATGAGCAAACATTTCCCAAGATCCTCCAATGAGTCAGACACTGCACTGAGTGTTCGGTATACTAAGAAAGGCATCTATATCCCTGCCCTCAAGGAGTTCACAGTCTAAGGGAGGGAGGCAATCTGCAAACAACTGTGTACAAGCAAGGCAGAGCCTGAGGAAGCTGGCGATAATCTCAGAGGGAAGGCACTGGAATGGGGGAAAGCTTCTTGCAAAAAAGGATTTTGGCTGGGATTGGAAGGAAGCCAAGGTAGGGGGGCAAAAAAAATGTCAGGGAGAATTCTAAGCATGGGAGACCACCAGGGAAAGGACTTCAATTAGAGAAATGAAGTGTGGTGTGGGAGGAATAATGAGGAGGTGGGAGTCACTAGATCATAGAGAGTACAAGGTAGAAGAAGATTGGAAAGGTAGGACAGGGCCAGGTTAAGTTTGGTTAAATTCATGTTAACCAAACTTCACTATGAAAGCATGCTAGGAAAAGGGCTGTTATTGTTCAGTCATTTCACTCGTGCCCACCTCTTCATGATCCCTTTCAGGGGTATCTTTTTGGGCAAAAAAACTGGAGTGGTTTGCCATTCCCTTCTCCAGCTCATTTTACAGATGAGGAAATTGAGGCAAACAGGGTTAAGTGACTTGCCCAAGGTGATATACCTAGTAAATGTTTGGGGCAAAATTTGAATTCAAGTCTTCCTATCCATCTGCTCTATCCACTGAGCCACCCAGAAGCCTTAGGGAAAGGGAGGGACACATGAAGAGAGGCAACAGTGTCATCAGAGAGGAGAACGGTGAAAAAGAAAGCAATGTGTTGACACTGATTGGGGATTCACAGGCTCTAGACCCAGATCTAACAATTCTTAGCGGGACAGCCAGGTGCAGTGGATAGAGCACCGGCCCTGGAGTCAGGAGGACCTGAGTTCAAATCTGGCTTCAGACACGACACTCACTAGCTGTGTGACTCTGGGCAAGTCACTTAACTCCACTGACTAGCCAAAAACAAAACAAAACAAGCCTCAGTCTCCTCATCTTTAAAACAAGGATAATGCAGATGGTGGTGTAGTGGATTGAGTGCTGAACTTGGAGTCAGGAGGAGCTGAGTTCAAATTCTGACTCAGATACCTATTAGCAATTTCTTTATCTCTCTTGGTGTCAGTTTTCTTGTCTGCAAAATGGAGGTAATAATTTTATAAGGCATGAAATAAGACAATAAATGTAAAACCCTTTTCAAACCTTCAAAAGCTATATAAATATTTTCACCACACAGGTGATGAGGAGAGTATTTAATAAAGTTTAAAATACTATATAAATGCCACTATAAATTTTAGATATTAAAGGACCATGGAGATCATATGGTCCAGTCCTCTCATTTTCTAGCTGGGAAAACAGAGACCCCCAAAAAAGGGAAGAAACTTGACTAAGGTCACATGACCACATCATAGGATAGATTATAGATTCATAGCTAGAAGGGATCTAAGAGGCCATGCAAACCCCCTGGTCTTCATCACATAACACACTATTAGCAATTACTTGCTGAGTGGTGCTGCGAAGTAGTGGGTGGAGGCAGCGTCAGACTTAGGAAGTTGTGAGTTAAAGTGCTTCTTCTGATCCATATTGGCTGTGTGACCCTGGGCAAGTCACTCCACAGTGTTCCAAGCAATTCTCTGAGACCACAAGTTGTGGAATAAGAGGCAATGGGCATTCTGAGAGTTCCCTAGAGCAATGTAATAATGGGTCTGAAATAACAACAATAAAAAAGTGATACAGGCAATAATTAGTGATGCTTCAGAAAAAGGAATGTTAGCTCTGGTGATTAAGAAAGATTTCATGGAGATGAGGGCAGAAATGTCCTCTGAAGTTTAGGTAGGATTTGTGGAGGGCCAGAGGACCTGAGGAATGGCATACTAGGAGGGGAAAACAGCATGGTAAAAGCACAGACACAGAAATTTGCAAAGCCTGTTTGGCAAACAGTAAGGAAACCAGTCTGGTTGGATAGGAGACCTCAGGAAGTAGCTGGCATTAACATAGCATTTTGAGTTTTGTAAAACATATCTATAGATAGATAGGGATGCTATAAACATACATATAGGTATAGGTATAGATATTGACATAGATACAGATATAGGTAAAGATAGAAGTAGAGAGTAGAGATAGATCTAACATGTATAACAGAGTACCGCAGTGGAGCAGATGGAAAGACCTGGCCATGCTGAGAGTACAGAAGTGGGGTGGAGAGTAAGGCCAGAGGGCACTTATAGGTTGGCCAAAACTGAGCATAATGTGCCAAATGTGGTCTCAGGAGGACAGAGTTCAGGGGGGATGAATATTTCTCAAGACCTGGAAATTAGATCTCTCTAAATTCACCTTAGATGGAATTTGCTTTAAAAAAAATAACATCATGCTACTATTGCTTAAAGAGAGATGAGAAAGATCAGAGGACACAGTTCTCACCATGATGTAGCCCTATCCCTGCTTATCCAACCACATCTTCCATTTCTGTGATATAATGGAGAGTGCTGGGTATAAAGTCAGAAACACCTGGGCTTGAATCCTACGTCCTTATGGGACCCAAAACAAGTCATTCAGTCCCTCTGAGATCCTCTTTTTAGCTTTGTATTCTCAGCACTTAATATAATTCTTTACATATGGGCAGGGCTTAATAAATGCTTCTTCACTTATTCCAGTAAAATCAATCAATAACATGATGTGAAGGAAATAAGCCCTGAATATGGACCTAGAAGACCTAAATTTGAGACCCTGGCTCTCATATTGTCCCCTCTCTTCAATGTTGGACAATACACAACACTTCTCTGGGCCTCACCTTCCTCATCTATAAAATGGGGAGAATACTATCTGTAGCCCATACCTTGCAGGGTTGTTGTGAGACCAGCACTTTATAAGCCTTAAAAGAATTGTAGAGGGCGCTAGGTGGCGCAGTGGATAAAGCACCAGCCCCGAAGTCAGGAGGACCTGAGTTCAAATCCAGCCTCAGACCAAACACTTGACACTTACTAGCTATGTGACCCTGGGCAAGCCACTTAACCCCAATTGCCTTAAAAAAAAAAAAAAAGAATTGTAGACATTTGAGCTGTACTTACTATGGGGGAGGACCAGAAAGAGAACCTGAATGAAGGGTCCCCTTAAGATTTTGTTCTAATATTTCACTCTCCTTCTCCTAAAGAAGTTTCAAATAGACATTAGAGACTGC